GGCTGGGCTCCTAGGGGGCGGGGCCGAATGGACGTGCGCGCTCCCGGCGCACCTGGGGGGCGGGGCTATGAGGGCCGGGGCTCTGTGGGGCGAGACGAGAGGGCGGTATGTGGGCGGGCCAGTACCTGTGTAGGGCCGCTTAGGCCCCTGGAGTCCGTCTCCCTAGCTGAGACCTCCTACGCTCTCCTCTGAGGCGCTGCTCAAAACAATGCGCTTTAAAGTCGGGACTCTGCTAAGAGACAACCCACCATGTGGGAAAAAATTTTTACCAGTTGTTCCTCAGATAAAGGTCTGCTATCCAGAATATATAAAGAACTAAAAAAAAAAAAAAAAAATCAGACTCCCCAAATATAGAGACCCTACTCAAAAATGGGCATCTGAAATGAACAGACACTTCATGGACAAACAAGTAAAAGAAGCAAAGAAATATATGAAAAAATGTTCCAAGATCACTGGTCATTTGAGAGATGCAGATGAAAACAACACTGAGATTTCACCTCACCCCAGTAAGAATGGCTGCTATCAAGAAATCACACAATAACAAATGTGGGCGGGATTGTGGGGAGAAAGGAACCCTTCTCCATTGTTGGTGGGAGTGCAGACTGGTGCAACCACTGTGGAAATCAGTATGGAAATACCTCAAAAAACTAGGGTTAGAGGTTCCATTTGACCCAGCTGTCTCTCTGGTGGGTATCTTCTCAAAAGAGTTAAAAGAATGATACCACAGCAATATATGCGCACCCATGTTTACAGCGGCACAGTTTGTAATAGCTAAAGCTTGGAAACAGCCTAATTGCCCATCAACTGGAGATTGGATAAAGAAGATGGGTTTTTTTTTGTTGGTGGTGGTTTTTTGTTTTTTTGGGTTTTTTTTTTTTTTTTTTTTTTTTGGTAGCAGGCATCAAACTCTGGTCCTTGCGCTTGCAAGGCAGGTGATGGAACCACTGAGGTAAATTCAAAGCCCCTAGATGTGTTTTATTTTTTTTATCAAATGGAGTACTACTCAGCCGTAAAGAATGAGAAACTAGAGATATTTATAGCTCAGTGGAGGCACATTGAGGCCATACTCTTAAGTGAAATTAATAGGACATACATGTGTAAATACCAAATAGTTTCTCTGGTGTGATAAACTAAAAGTGTAAATAAGGATCAAAATGTACAGTTGATATTGTGTGATAGGAAAAAAGATCTAAAGATGGAGGGGAAGTGGGAGGTGTAGGGGAAAGGTAAGAAGGGAAAAGAAAAAATAAGAAAAAGGAAAAAAAATGAAAGTATTTGTAAATAGGGAAGGGTGGAGGGGGGTGAAGGGAGGCCAGGGGAATGGGGTAAAAAATAAGACCCGAGATACGTCATGTAAAGGTACAAAATCCTGATGACAAATGTAACTGTACTGTATCCTAAAATGTACCAATAAAAAAACAAGTCAGGGCTCAGGTTTAAATCAGATTCCTGCTGCCTCCTTGCAAGTGACCTTGATCTCCTCTGCCTTTCTGGTCATGTCTAGTTTTAGGGATCCTCCACACCCCGTTTCCTGGCATGTGGAGTCCCTCTGCATCCCTTCTCCCTCTGGCCACAGGGCCTGGGTTCTGCACCCTCATTTCAATAATCTGGGTGTTCCCTTTCCTTTTCCAAAGGGTGGCATCTACCACAGGTTCTATACCACACTTAGCTTTGCTACAAGTACTGTCTAGTGCTGCTCCTGGTAACAGAAACCTGTAAGTATAGCTACGTGGAAGGCTGAGGCATGAGGATCCAGGCTGGCCTGGACAGTTTTATAAGACTCTATCTCAAAAAGAAAGGGAGAGAGGGTGCACACACAAGATTGAGGTTGTAAAGGTAAGAAGAGTTCACAACACTGGAAGTGCATATTTTCCTGTCCATATTTTCTTACATGGTAGTTTTTAGAGAGTTCTTAAAAACTCTGTTGTTCTTTCTGCTTCTCAATTTTAAACCAAATCTGTGCAACATTCATCCTGCTAAGTTTTAAAAAGGAAAAAAAAAGTCAAGGAGTCAATATTGTTTTACTTATCTTACCAAATATGTCTTAAATAGGCAGAGAAGCTCATCAGGATACATGATGATTAAAAGATCGGGAAAGGAGACCGGAGGGAAGAGAGAGAGCACCCGAGGAACTGCGCCGGAAAACGGAAGAAGGCAGATAAGCATGATATATTTTGTCTAGTTCCGAAACACTTAAAACATTTTTGTTACAAGTTTAGAAGAATGCATCCTCAATGGCATATGTCTGAGTAAATAAATAAGTGTAGGTCAAAGGTGAACTTGTTAAAATACTACTGAATTTTACTTTCACCCCAACTCTCCAATGACACTTTCCCTAGTAGTTTTAACCTTTTCCACCTTCCAAAAGCTACCCATCATTTCTACCACTATTCCAGGCAACAATTTCCTCTGTTTTTAATCCCTATAATATTCTCTGTCATTCGTTCTATCTGCTTAACACTTTCAGCCTTGTTTGAAGATGATATGACAAAACCCATTTCTTTTCTAAAATTCTCGTTATCCCTGAGAAAATGGTCTCACGCTGTTTCCTCTTAACTGTACACATGCTGCCATCTTGCTGACGTTATTTATCTGGTAGCTCTTCAATTAAATTCTAAGAAGTTTGAAGCTAAGAGCAATTTCTTAGGACCATTTAAATTTCTAAGTCTATGCATCATAGTATATGGTAAATGTTGATAATACTACTGAGAAAAGACATACAAGACAGAGTACGCAGATATTATCAGTGGTATCCCCATAGAATTGGGTTACTCACGCCACAAAATCTACCTAGTCATAGAAGAAGATGTCAACCTCTTCCTACAAGATAATGGCAGCATAATGACAGTAATAGGGTTGTGAGAATAATGTAGGTTACTAAATAAGACCTTTAAATTTAAAAAGATTGCTACAAATTAATATATGAGCCGTGAACTAGTTTTCTCTTTACAGGCTAGTTATCAGACTGCTAGTATCTTGTAAATAAATTAGCCATATCATCTGAGTATGAGTTTCCATAGTTGCCAGGGTTTAATACTAAATAATGAGCTGAAGGGATGATGTTCCCTTCTGAGTTTCTGTATCTAGGAAATAGAAACAAGCCATATTTCTTGGTTGTCATGGAGGCAAGCCCAATCCCCACATCTCATTAATAGATATTTTAAACAAGTAAATCCCATGAGAATTCACAGATCATAAGAACTGTAGCCTGAGATTTAACAGGCTACCTAGCTGTAAAAAATTAATAGTGAACTGGAATTTTGACAATAGTTATGTAAAGAAAAAGAATGTCTCGTTACCCTAAATACCAACCTGCAACCTAGACTCCCACTGGTGAACAATGGATTCTTTTTTTTTTTTTTAACTTGGCTAGACTTCAAAGCTTTATTTCAATGGATTTCCCAGCTATTTTTTTGCAAAAATTAATGGCAAAATTGCTAAATGGTTATACCCACTTTTTCAAATGTTAAGTTAGCACATTATTTTGCATGATTGCCAATACAGTGGTATATCAGCTTAATTCTTTCCACGATTCAGGTCTGTACACGCTTACAGCTCAGTTCCAACCACAATCATGGAATGAATTCTGGACCAGAATCATAGGATTAGATTTGTGAATCAAGGTATCACTGTATGTTGAAAATCATATGCACCATTTTAAAATCTGTTATCGAATACTATTACTATTTGTTTTAAAATGCCATTTCTACAAGCTAAGAAAGATGCCAAGAGAAGTGGTGTGGTTTCTAAATTCAGGATACAAGTAGGTAGAATTTCAAATTGGTGCCTTTGTCTAGAATGAGACAAGACAAAGAAATACGAACTTGGATGACAAAGTAAAAAGGGAATCAAGTATCTTTAACACTAGAATTCCAAGCTACCATACCAAATATGGCTAAGGTTGTTATTAAATAGCTAGGGAAATGATCAGTAACTGATCAAGGGTTATAACAGACAGGTTTAGACAAAAGGAATGACTTCTGATGATAATTTTAGTCTGATTTTTATTAATATTACTAATATTATTGTTGTTACCATTGTTTCTATTACAACAAAAATAATTTCACTTATTTTATCCTTTGTGTTTCTCCAAACAGAGATTTAGTCATGGGCACTGATATATGAAGACTGTAAAGAAAAATTTATTTAAAACTCAACCACCCAGCTGTGCCTGGGGGCACACACTAGGATGAGGCAGGAGGATAGTGAGTTTGAGGCTAGTCTGGGCCACATAGAAAAACCCTCTCTCCAAAGCAAAAACCTCAACCACCCAACAAGTTTTCATCAAAGCGCCTAGTAGTCTTCCTTAGTAAGAACTCCAACTTTCCAAGTGAACAGCAACCAAAAAAGGCAAAAAAGAAAAGAAAAATCAGTAATTATCCTGAGCAAACAATAATAATTAAAATTCATCAAACCAGGGATGGTGGTGTGCCTCTGTAGTCCTAGCACAGAGGTGGCTGAGAGAGGAGGATCACGGGAGCCCAGAGTGAGCCCCCCATCTCAAAAACAAACGAACCACCAAAAATGTCAAGCAATGGCAGACATTTGTTCTACTATTAAATTATATGGTGCAGATTGTAAAGTGCTGTAGAGCAATCACTGAGAGCTATTGTTACCATTAACTTCAAGAGATGGAGATTTGTTTTATAACTAAGAGAAAAAGGTGACGATGTGGAGAAACGAGTCAATTTGTGTTTTCTTTCCTGCTTTGAGAAAGAAAATGGACTTCAAATTGGTAAAACTGCAGCAACATAGACAGAGAACTGAAACTTGAGATGGGTGAGGAGGTAGTAAGAGAACACCTATCTATTTCAAATAAGTTCATGTTTCCAGGCACAAATTG